TGGAGCAGTAGCAGCACAGTAGCAGTACAGTAGTAGTAGTAGTCGTAGTAGTAGTAGTAGTAGTAGTAGTAGTAGTAGTAGTTGTTGTTGTAGCAGTAGTAGTAGTAGTAGTAGTAGTAGTAGTACTTGTTGTTGTAGCAGGGCCAGGAGTAGGACCAGGAGCAGAAGTAGACGGCACTGTACTGAACACTAAGAATGGCTTTTTCCAGACTCGACCTTACAACCACGACTCTGCCGGACTGGTAGGGATTCTGAATCTGAATGGGGGGGGGCTGTGCCACGTTTAGTGGCTGAACAGGCGGCATCTTGAACAAAGACAGGACAAGTCTTCCGGGCCTCGAATCATTGCAACCATCGGAGCCATGAGTGCCCACAGAATCCGAACCGCTAGCCATCAGGCATAAACCAGCAAGTAGCACCACAATCTCGAATCGCTGTCGCTCGCAACTCCAGCCTCAGCCCTTACATCGGAAGTACCACGACTGATTCCTGAACCCTTTAAAGTGGGACATTGGCTTCAAGCAGAAACGCAAGACGCATGTTCACTCCCAGCCGCTGTAGTGTCCGAGCATAGCCGCGATAACGCCCATCAGCAATGACGAGCCTTGCTATGGTTCTTGCTCGCAACATCGAAAAATCAACAAACCTGAATACAACAGAGCGCAGCGTGCCCGCGCTTGTTTCGTGTGTTACATTCAGTCGCGACGTTTGCTCTTCAATGGTTCAAAGATCGAAGCGATTCCAAAAGGTCACAAATTCGTGAATGACAACAAGTGGATGAAGCTCACACTGATGTAGAGGCCGCAGTCAGCAAACTGCTAACAAACCGCAAGCAACACTCCACGACTTTGCCAGCTTCGAGCCAAGGATCCGGACAACAGGGCCGCAATGTCCACAAGCGAGGCATCGCGATTGCCGCGGGCCTAGCAAGCAGGTTGGAATCAGCAGTGGCTTCTCAGCTTTAGGTGTAAGCTCACTAAACAGAGTGCAAACGCTAAACCCGAACAGATCGAGAATGAATTTGGCACCTGCAGACTCTTCTCGGAGCTGCTTGAACCTGAAACTTCGTCTGATGCTTAGATCTACAGAAGAGCCGAATGTAGTACAGCATAGTATGCTATACTGCATCATCCTATTTTGCAGTACACTATAATGAGACTATACTATATTGGATTAGAGTACATTTCATTCTTTACTCTGTGCCCCCCAAACCCTATAAACCCTAAACCCTAAACCCTACACCCTAACCCCCCCTCCCCCCCCCCNNAAAAAAAAAAAGCCCCGCCAGTACCGGGATCAGCAGCATCGATCCCACGCACGCCAGAGATGCCAGCTCGGTCGAGTTGCTGACATAATCGTGGATCCTCGCAGTCAAGTAGGATAAGCCTTTAAAGGGGCCCTTTAAGGGTAGGATAGGGCCTAGGGTTTATAGGGTTCTGTAATAGGGTCCCCTTTCAAAAGGGATGCAGCTTAGTGTAGGAGGCCCCAACCCCTCAACCCCAGACCCCTAAAACACTTGTGTTTGCAGGCTTGATTTGCGTTTAGGGCCTCCAAAATGCGGGCAAGGATGCACTTGAGCCAGGAAATTGGGGTTTAGGGTTTAGAGTTTAGGGTTTAGGGGTACTGCAGGACAACCAAAAAAAACAGGAAAAAAATTCGTAGATTCTTCTGAAGTCTAACCTTTACTTACCGCGTTGGGTAGTACATGTTCACGCTTGGCATTTGCTGTAGTATAGCCGACCACTCAAGTCATGCATGCCATTTGCTCGAATTCGCTCCTTCGAACAACGCTGAGCTGTTTAATTGTCCTCTAAGATGTGTCTCTAGTGACACCGCTCCGGTGACAATGCTGTTGTCGTTCACTTTCAAAAATCTTGTTCACATGGCAAACAGACCAACCAAAACAGTCGGACAGACCATCAAAATGCCTGGAGCCGTGCCCCAAGACTCTACAGCCGAAACGACTTTGATCGCGGTCCCGATGGATATCGGTCAGATTCCGGCGTAAAGTTCAACAAACAGGCCAAAGTCGCACCCAAGGGAACATAGAAACGAACAACTCCCTGCCTGAGACCTGAACCGGGGACTTGGGTATACTAGTATTATTCTGATACTATAATATAATACTATTATAATAACATTCTAATACTATAATATCGTAGTATTGTATTACTATAATATAAGACGAAAAGATACAATTATTATGATTTACTCTAGTATATGAAACCGACATGGTAAGTCCCAGGGGCAGCAGCGAAAACAAAGAACTTAGAGCCAGAATGATGACCGTGGCCACCGTCATAACCAAGACAGATGCAAAGAACCTGGGGTGTAGGGTGTAGGGTTCAGGGTTTAGGGTTTATAGGGTTTAGGGTGTAGTGTAGGGTTTAGGGTTCTTCTAGCAAAACACCGTCGCTTCTGGGGCTACGAGGGCACGCTGCACGGAACTCTTAAAGTGATGTTAAAGTCGCGGGCCGAAACCCAAAGCCCTATTATCAAAGCTCAGAAGATCCACCGGAACTCAGGGATGCAAAAAACTCCTGCTATGAGGATCTGTAGCTTCAGGGTTTTAGACATAAGGCGTTTAGGGCTTAGGGTCACATGACATAGATTCGGGCTTCGCATATATTGCGATGCGGCTTCGGGTTTGTAGTCGAGGGTCTTGCGTGCAGTAGGCTAGGTTTGCAAAAAGTACAGGCTCGGGAGATAGCAATACATAATTTAGAAGAGCAGCAACTCTCGAACTTATATATATATATATATTCTCATATGGATTCATACTGCATAGTTAAAATTGAACTTCTCAGCTGCCCGCGACTGCTGGTGCCGTCTGGATATTGAACATTTCTTACTCTTTCCACGAAGCCCTGAACCATCAACCCGAAGAGTCCCCGTAGTTCAACCCGTGAATGAACCACTACCCATAGGCCCCATGGCGGCTCCCTTTTGGGATTACCTTATAGGATTCAACATATGAACCCCAAACAGGAACTACTATGGGGCCTATGGGTAAAGAAACCCGTTAGAGGGAAGACTTTCAAGGTGAGCTTTTGACTAGGATGCCCGGTAACCTAGGATTAAAAGCCGGGCTCTCTTTTGTGTATTGGGTCGCTTTATAAGGAGCCTAAGACTCCAGAGGACCCAACTGGAAGACCCAGTTGAAGAGCCGCAATGTAGGGGCCTGAATACTTCGAACAGGGTTTGGGGTATCTTATACTATACTTATCATATGGAACTCCCAAAACCCTGATCTGAATACTTCGAATAGGGTTTGGGGTATATTATACTATACTTTTAATAAGGAACTCCCAAAACCCTGATCTAATTACTAAGGCCCCTACATCAGCTTCGGCTCCAGCCAGGTCACAGGGTGGCAAGCAGGTAGCCAATCATCTGGCCGATGGCATCCTGCCTTGGAGGGTCGTGGCCTTGCTTAGATACTGGTTAGGGCTTAGGGTTTAGGGTAGTATGTAGTTGCTGCTGGAAATTGCTGACAAGCCCGGAAACTAGCAGTGAGGTGTAAGAACCCCTCCTCACGAACAAAAGCTCCACCTCCAGCACAGTGTCGACCCCTCCTCCCCTCCCCCTGACACGAGTCGCGGTACAGCCATATTGAAAAGCCCGCCGTGTAGTCCATGGCGAGGGGGCTACACGGAGCTCGCTAGGGAAGGAAAACACAGTAGCAGTGGAGAAATGACTTCGACTTAAACTACTACGAAGTACAAGCTCGGCTTCAACTTACGGTATGTCGGATATAGTCTTTGACTCTAAATCTGCGGCTGGTATTTTGCCATAACTGCCAGAAAGATAGGAGTCCACTTTTTGCCGTGTATACCGCTTTAGCAAACTTTAGCTGCTCCTCCCCTGCGTGGGGATTCGTACTTGGGCTTTGGCTTCAGGGCTTCTTGAGGTTGCTTCCTGGGGTTCGTCCAAAGGATCAACAGAGCTGAACTCTCTGTTTCTCAGGCGTAGGCTGAAAGACTGTGGTATACTGTTGTGATAAGGGTTCAGGATGCTGGTTAGGATTTGGCTTAAGGGCTGGACGGATTCGTGCTAAGTGGGCTTGGACTGGACACGTATTGTTGGGGGGGGCAGGAGTGAGGTCACACATGCTCCATCTTGAGCCTCAGTCAGCTGGACGGTGGAATGCAATGAGATCCGTTGCAGCTGAGCCGGGTTTAGGTTTTAGGGCTACGAGGGTGGGTGCATGCAAGTTCATTCCAGCACCAAACGTCTGTATGTTTGCGAGCAGGGAACGGGTGCTACAACAACCGGAGCAGCATCGGCGACAGGCACCCGTTAATTAACCGCAATCTGAGACCTTATAAGTTTCCCTGACTGGATACTTGTTACCGAGCTTCAACACTAGCAACCTTCACACCTACGTGAAGTCACACCTAGAAGCTGGTCTGGTTGCACACAGGTTCAACACAAATGAAGCGAGTCAATGGAATTCAGCAGTGTGTATATAAATCGCTTTCCACACCTGCCACTTCAGCCCCAAGTACGGACAATGGACCGCACCTGAACGACGGGATGTCAGATATGCCATATGACGGCTGTTCAAGCAGGAGTGGGCAACGGTATGCGCACGCACAGCCACATCAACGCCCATATAAAGCCCAGTAAACCAGGAGTCCTTAGCTAGTAGTAATACTGCCCTCTCATAGTCCCTAAGACACATATATATATATATATAGACGTTATATATATATATACACACATAATATATATTTCTATATATAGACACATACATACACATACACGGTGTATGCGCATACGCACATACATACACACATACATGCAGCTGCATAGACCCAGAGAGAGACAGAGAGGGAGGGGTAGCGAGATACCAAGCCCTGAGACCCTAAGAACTATCAAGGCTCCTTGCGCGGAGCCTCAAGCGCGAGGCGTCCCGCCACGGATATGTTTCACCCGGACCTCCTCCGAATCGATGTTGATGGCCTCCACGACTTCGGGTTCTTTCGGGCTCCGGGCACCCGAAAACCTGCAACCTTAAACCTTTCAAGCCGGTAAACTCTGAAACGGCAAATCAGAATCTCCAGAAAGCAGTACAAAGGGGCTGTGCATAAATTTCTTTGCAGTCTCTTAAACAAAGCTGCAATTTGATTCAGTTGGTGGTTCCTGACTCCAGCTGCGTGGGGTCTAACTTCCGCCCTGCCTTGCCGACAACTACCTGGTCAAGCAATCTACACATCACACGCCTCAGCCTTGCAACATCTGAAGAGGAAACCGAAAGCTAACAAGATGCTGCCTCAGCGAACTTCTCAGCCACGAGACGCTTGAATGTGTCCTGCGTGAGCAGCATGAAGCATGTCAATGTCACCCTGACAAACCTAATTGTCGGACCCCATTCAAATCCGAAGACGGCACGACCCTGGCAAACATAAACCTGTGAGCCTGAAGTTAAGCAAGCAGCCCTTCACCTTCGCCCCCCAATCTCTGCAAACATTGCCATGCACGGTGCCGGAAGCCCATACCAACAGACTGCTATCCCGCAGTCCTGGTCACCGATCGCGGATTGGCGAAGACCCGCCATGCGAACCTGCCCAGATCTCTTGGAGCTTGCAGGGTTCGGCACTGCCTGGGTCCCCTGCACGCCTAAACCCATGGCCATAGCTCTGGTAATTCGAGGTATGGGAAAGGACCTTGGGAAGCAGGATGGCAATCTTGACGTGGCCATCCCCAAGTGAGTCCTCAGACCTGCTTTGACCTGTGAGCCCAGATCGAACCTCAAATCCACCATAACTGCAAAAGCCGGGGGAGGAGTAGCCAGTACTTTCCGCTGCATTGCATGTTACAGGTCCTTCCCCGTGGCAAACCATGTTTGAGTGCATAGGATTTGTCTCACCTCGAAGTCTCGAAAGGCGACGTCGGGGTAGAGTCGGGATGTAATGAAGCCTCCCCCTGAAGGATCTGTATTGAACCAGTTATTCATCAACATATATCTATATATACATGCCACACAGCTACCTATACTAAGCCTAAACCCTAAACCCTAAACCCTAAACCCCAAACCCTTTTCGGCCTTCACCGGTTTGGGCTGATGCCTGTCGAGGAGTGCCATAGCCGCGGCCACCCGCGCAGGCCACTCCTACGGTTTAGGGTTTAGGGTTTAGCAGGCCACTCCTCAGGCGATCCGAGTGTTTGGGGGCTCGGGGCCTGGACGTCAAAACCCTCAGGCTCCGGAAAACACAAGCAACGACACCTTACAATAGGTGCCTTAATAATTAGAATAGGGTTTTGGGTTCCTTTATAGTATTATCATAACAAGGAGCCCCCCAAAATCACAGAGGTAATTATTGAGGCCCCTCTATATCTATATCTATATCTATAACTATATCTGTGTATAATATCGATTGAGCTTGGGGTTTAGGGATCAAGCCCTTTGCCTCTAGGTTGAGCCCACGAGAGCCGGACAAAGAATTCTGAAATTGTGGTAACGAGGCAAAAGCCCTCAGACACCACGCACTAGACTCGCAAACACTTTTTTTTTTTTATCGCAGTGCTTTTTTGACTCCACTGGCAAGCTGGGATGGGACTATATGGTTTGGGGGGTACAGGAGTTGGGTTCAGTCGTTTAGGGATTGTGGTTTAGGGATTAGGGGTTTAGGGCTTAGGGGGTCGCTATCTGCCAAACTTCAAGTCTCCACCTGCCGCAACCCGACGCCCAACTCCACAAAGAAACACGTCCCGAACGCTGACAACACTTAAACCTCCAAAAGGGGATCGCCCACCATGTGTGTCACTCTGGTCTGTTTGTACTTGAATATATGATTTAGAAGTCTGCAAGTTTGTCGAACCACCCACAAAATTCAATGTCAGTAGGTGTTCACTTCCAGCATTGCGAACGATACAACTTTGCACTGAAACATTCTCTCATATCAAGCTAGAGGCAGCTCGCCCACTCGCATGCCTGCACTAGACAGAACGACAGTTCCAAAACTTAAGTCAACCGAAGAATCGCCAACCATCCGAACAAATACACAGCAAACTGCAACCAAGAAAATTCGGCATTTTAAACACCAAGCCATGCCACCCACCCTCACCCCAAACATCTGAGCAACTTCTAACTCCACCACAGAATGACAGGAACAACTGAACCCTCAAGCACTCAACCCCACCCCAATCCCTACAATTACCCCAAACCCTGGAAGCCTTGAAAACCGTAAGCCCTATAAATCCCCAGAAAGACCGAACGCCCGCAGGCCCTTTCAACCTTACAGCCGAAGCCCCGAATTAGCCCGAAGACTCGTTGCCAGACAGCTCTAGTTTGCCCTTTTCACAACCCTTATCCAACCTTCGCAATTAAAACCATTCTAAGGCCCTTGTGACCAACAAGGCCCTTTGTCAAACCCTCACAAACCCTTCTAAAGATTCCAAAGCCCTTGCAAAGCCTGAGAAAAAGGCCCCCTAAACCCTAAACCAACCCTAAACCCTAAACTCTAAACCAACCCTGAACCCTAAACCGGCCCTGAACCCTGAACCCCAAGAAGGCCCGCCTCGTCTTCCTCCGATGTCTCGTGCTCAGAGCTTTCGGACCCAGAGCCCAACTCCTGTCGCCAAGCCTGGAAAAGCAGTTCAGAGTTTAGGGTTTATGGGGG